CAGAGGCTGCACCTTCCTCCTGTCACCAGTGGGGGGCGCGGTGCTCCAGACTTTCAGCAGCAGTTGATGTTCTCAATACCTACATATGTGCACACACACATTATATACATATATATATTACATATATGCATTTGTGTAATATATGCATATATTATGATAGACATATGTATCAGTCATATTTTATGCCTGCTTTAATTTACATCCCCCCAATATTTGAGCTAATTTACCACAACGCCTAGACTGGCCTTGCTCCTAATCTAGGCCTCCCTCTACCTCCCAAGTGCTGGATTTACAATTCAGGCTAGCCTAGAACTTACTGTATAGCTCAGGATGGCCCCAAGCTTCTGGCAGTTCCTCTGAATTAGCTTCCTCAATGCTTTGATTACAGGCAGAGGCAACCAGATCTGGCTGATTTTTTTTTTTTCGAGACAGAGTTTCTCTGTGTAGCCCTGGCTGTCCTGGAACTCACTCTGTAGACCAGGCTGGCCTCGAACTCAGAAATCCGCCTGCCTCTGCCTCCCAAGTGCTGGGATTAAAGGCGTGCGCCACCACTGCCCGGCAAATTTTGTCTTTTTAAAATTATTTTTTTTTCAGTTCAAAATTGAATTCAGGGTATCACACAGCCTAGGCAAGGGTGAACTCTATCCCAAACCCTAAGAATAATTTTAATTGACAGATAAATTATGTCACAATATGTATATACATTGTAGAAGTATGTCATATCACATAATATACTGGGATCAAACCCCCAACCTCCCCCTAGGCATCCTAGGCTCTGCCACCAAACACATGTTCATCGACCCCAGTTTTCTTAGTGTTCCACTTAGTGTCTTTAAATTTTTATTTTTATTTATTTATTTTTTTGAGACAGGGTTTTTCTGTGTAGCTCTGGCTGTTGTGGAACTTTCTCATGCTGGCCTTGAACTCACAGAGATCCTCCTGCCCCTGACTCCTGAGTTCTGGGATTAAAGGCCACCACTGCCCAGCATATTTTCTTGTTTTTAATTATGTGTATATGTATATTTGTGTGTGGGTATGTGCACATGTGTGCAGTACCCACAGGGACCTGAAGAGGGCATCAGATCTATGGGAACTATATTGTGAATCCTGGACAGCAGTGTTAGAAAGGAGTTCAGGTCCTCTGGAGCAGCAGGAAATGCTAGTAACTGCTGAGCATCTCTCTCCAGGACTCCTGTTACCGTTTTTTTACCTGTTACATCTTCTGGATGAGGTACTGAATGTTCCTGAAATGTCTTTCTGTAAATGGTACTTAAATTTTAGAACTTCCCATGATTCTGATTTGTTATTATCAAACAACAAACTTTTTTCCCCTGAGTATCACAAGTGTTTATTTAGCAAAAGGTTTCATATGAAAATGTCCATGACCCAATCAATACACAATCAGACAGGCCCTTTGTGGAAGGAGGTGGACACTTCTTCTGAGCAGCCACTGTTTGGACTCTTTCCGAGGCTTCTAAGGTGATGATGCTGTTTCCTGTTCTGTTGTCCACTAGTTACCATCTCCACCCACCTCACCAATCTCAGGAATCATAAGGGGAGCAAAGCTCCATAGCGTTCCTGTACATGTCTGCCACCTTTAACTTCAATGATAACTTCTTGTTCATCGACTTCTTACCTTCAGGAGGGTGGGCTTTGCACATGTCGACTCCTCAGCCGGCTCCAACAGTTATCTGCTTCTGCCCGGAGGAGCAAAATGTTACATTGTCTCTATTAAGATGATGCTAGCGACTGCTACCATCACCTATCTTCAGACAGGTTTTCAAATTAAGGATACATTAACACAGTGATTCCTTCATCCCTCCGTCAGAGGAACATCTCTGTGGAGGGAAATACTTGCCCACGTCCCCAGAATAAAGTTAGAACAGAAAAGGAAGGCTAAAATGCTGTTTCCCTTTCCAGATATTTAGAGTGGCTGGTTGCTAGGCTCCTCCAAAGATGGTCGGTATTTTAAGTATGGTGAAATGGGACTGTGAAACGGCTCAGCATGTGAAGCACCTTCTCCCAAGCCTGTTGATAGGAACCGTGGGGACGCACACATAGACACCTTATGCTGGTCCCCTTACCCTGACACTTGAACCATGGGCAGTGTTGGTCATCTGAGCTACTCCAAACCCTACCGTTATTTTTAAATTGACAGACATACCAAACAGGCACAAAAAAAAAAAAAAAAAAAAAAACAAGTAAAAGTGATCCAGGCACACCATGTTGTGGCTGAGGATGTAGCCTCTCTGTTAGTAGAGAGCTCCAGGTTCAAAGTGCAGCGTCAAATAAAACTGGATGAAGAGGTGGCAAATGCTCGGGAGTTGCGGGCAGGAGGATCAGAAGATCAAGGCCACCCTAGGCAATTTAGCAAGTTAGAGCAAGTAAATCCAGTTCCAGTGTTTCCAGTGTCCTCTAGGGACATCCACTGACAGCAGGTATGTATATGATGCACACACTTACATACATGCAGGCAAAATATTCATATACATAAACTAAATGTAAAATGAAGTAAAATAAGACAGGCAGAATGTTGCAATTCCATTGTGAGGATGGAGGAGGAATAAGGTCTTCCTGTCTCAAAAACCCAAAATGAATAAACAGAAACAAAAAATGATTTTCTTCTTAGTTGTTTTTCAATTATAATTCTTACTGATCCTTAAATTGTCCCGTGTTGAGCTAGCCTCATTTCCCTAGGTTTGCCTTGTAGTCCTCTTGACTGGTACCAGTGGTCTTTGATAGAGTTCACTACGTTGCCTAAGCTGACCCCTGACTTTATCGGGGATAGGAGTCTCTGCTGAGCTTGCTTCGGATGGAGCATCTCATTTCCGGCATCTCTTGTCACAGACTTCTCAGCACCAACACTGACAGGTTTAATTCCCTCCAGCAGAAACAGGGAGTCCGGGAAACATGGCCCTTAGCCTGCCAATCAGCAGTCCTCAGGGTGGAAAATCAAGCCTAGCCTCTCTCTGGCTCTTGGATCCCTCAGTTGCCTGCAGGAATGTCTACTCCTCAGTGCCTCCCACTGGAGTCCTTGGTAAGCGATGGCCTACTTACTAATTATAACGCTAATTCCCATTTCCAGCTGTTCTAAAGCCCGCAAAACCTATGCGTGCACGCTGCACATGCGCCTTGCTTCACGCTATTTCCTTAGCGGCAGCCTCCACTCCACTGCCTTCCTTATCTCTTTGACTTACGTTGATTCAACCTTCAGGATTCAGCCTTAACTCATCTCCAAAGAGCACCTCAGACCCAGCAGGACTGTCTCCCACCCCTATCTCAACCCCACAGTTTGTGTATGTGTGTCCGGGGATTCCATGTCTGCCTCCCAGGAGCTGCCCTTGCCAGTTCTACTTTTACTAGAGGTCTGAGGGCCTGAACTGCAGCCAGCTTGCACCGCAAGCGCTGATGCACTGAGCCTCCTCACGTGCAATATTTACATGCAGCTCTCCTGTGCTACTGGGCAATGACTGCCCAACTGGGAATCATCTGAATAGATCTCCACATTGGGGTGTCTATTACCCCTAGTCCAAACACTGTATTAGAATCTTTTTCCAGCGCAGAAGTATCCATCGCTGCAGCGTGTCTTCCTCCCTCTGGTTCTGGCTGGACAGCGCTCCTCCCATTTGTCGTCCTCAGATGAATGGCTGCTGAGGGAGGATGAGGGGATGTTTGCTCTTGCAGCTCATACTGGTTAAAGATTTGGGGTGCAGAGACTATGCTGAAATTGATGTACTTTTCCCTCTCACTCAAAGTGCAACGTTAATGGCAGGGCAGAAAGGATGACAGTGCTCCGGAACTCTCCTCAGCACTGCCTGTACACACAAAAACTAGGACCCTGGCATCGGTGTGTCACCCGGTGTACCACTGGAAGTAACTGGCCACATATAGTAAATGCACCTGCCTTCCCTGGTTACTAAGACTACAATAAAGCAGGCAGGTGAGCTGCTCACTGGTCAAGGGACACATAAGTTAGATCCCTGGAACCCATAGAAATGTGGAGTGAACTGGTTCCGGTCATCCTCTAACCTCCAACTTGTGCTGTAGTTCTCACCCCCACAAACCTACAATGGTTAAAATGATGGAAATGGTTTTTAAAAAGGTCAATTCCCAGCATCCACACCAAGCAGTTACAACTGCTCCAGGGACTCAGATTCTGAAAAGGACTCTCTCACAGAGAGTCATTTTTTCTGGAGCCAGCTCCAGGGACTCAAAATCTGAAATAAAAAAACTGTGTGTCTGTGCCTCCCACCCACTTAGCACGCCTTTCCTCAGTTGGGAAACGTAGCTGCCTTCAGCTGCAGTAGCGTCGGGTGAACATTGGAACACTTGGCCCTTCGCTGGTGGATCCATTTGGGAGGTATGACCATGCCGGGGAGAGATCTGTCATGGAGGTAGGCTTTGAGAGTTAGAGACTCTCACCATTTCCAGTAACTGTAAATACCCTCCCTCCTCCATGGTGCCCTGGACATGGTGCTTTATCTCAGCACAGAAGTAACTAATACAGATGATTTACGGGTCCAACTAGGTCACTATAGACAAGATCCTACAATCTACACTACATATAACCATGGTTACAGGTCAGCAGAACAGGATGAGCAGACTGAAGTCACCTCACAAGTGCATTTATACGATTTTCACTCACTGGTGTTCCTGGGGAGGAGCCTGGCCACCAGAAGTGAACACAAGTACTTGCAGGGTGAGTGGCCCGCACCCCCAGACCCGAAGCTGATACACAGCCTACCTGTGGCAGTCACTACCACAGACAACCCCAGCACAGGCCAGGCTGAGGAGAGCGCTCTGGAGGAGCCCTGTGCTAGACAGAGAGAATGTCAACATTAGTGGCATGCTGGGATTCCAGAGCGGAGGCCTAAGTGTGTGTGCTCCTTGCTTCTGTGTCTGTAGAGAACACACTGGATCCAGTCAGCTCCCACGAGCAATGACAAGTGTTGACAACCCCAATCTAGTCTGCCCCTGATTTAACACACTAAGACACCAGGAAAGGTTAAGGAATTTTCTTTATTTTTTACAAATTAAGACTATGTAGATATATTTTTTTAATCAAAAACACCGTTGTCTTCACAGTATGAGTTAGAGAACGCAGCCTGAGCTGGAAACAAAGAACAGGGAACAGAGTGGAGATGGCAAAGATGCCTGTGTTAAAAACCTGTTAAGACATTTTATTTAAAAGTAGTTTTATATCTTTATCATTCTTGGCACTGTTTCTAAAGAAAAACTCCTTTTTCCCAAGCAAAAAAGCACAAGAGGTGGAGTCTGGCTTCAAGAGGTGGAACTCAGTCAGGTCCTGAGGCCTCGCAGCGTCAGTGTTCTGGGAGCCGCTGCTATCCCTTAGGTAGTAAGCTCAAGCCAGGGAAGGCATCAGGCAAGCAGGGCGGCACTTCAATGCACACACCACTCTGAGTGCACCAGTCCAGAGCGGTCTCATTGGACAGTGAGCCAGTGGCCACTGTGTCAACTGCACTGGCTGTGAGCAAAGAAAGCCCAGACCACCATCCTACTGCCAATGGCTTGGTAGCCAGGGCCACAACCACTCCGGGTGCCACTTTTCTGTGCAGACTATGATGGCCCACAGTCTGGTCAACAGGCTTCTGCCCAAAAGACCAAAAATTTCTGGAAACAGGTGAACAAACTCAAATAACTAAAGTGCATCTGTTAGTGATTGTTACCTGCTGCCTCAGCTCTGGCCTGACACTCCCGAATTGTGTCCAGGCAGGCAGACAGAAATGCACTGAAGAGCTTCTGAGAGTCATCAGCCCCACCTCACCGACCCCGCACGGTCACCCGGAGCTGCAGCCCTTAGCTAAGCGTGTCTGGCAGGACTCAGTACAATTAGCCCTGAGGCTCAACCAGTCTCCTTTCCTATCCTTTCCCCAAGATTTTTAGCCACAGCCACCTAGTGAAGACCAATCAATAACAAAGGTTGATAATTCTAAGAACCAACAAAGAAAACTACAATAGGGAAACTTGGGATTGTTCTCTTTACTTGCCACACATACTCAGATCTTCATGTTCCTCCCTGTACTCAAGTCTTCCCACCCACCGATGGAAAGCAGGTAAGTTCCCTGTGGGTTGCTCAGGAGTGAAAAGACCTCTTACAAATCTCCATCCCATCATCGTGGCAAGGCAGAAGCCATTTGTCAGACTAATTAGGCAGCAGAGGAAGGAAGCACCCACCAGAATCCACTCTGTGGCAGGCCTGGCAGCTCAGGACAGGTAAGCTCCTTCCCAGGGCAAACACACTGCCTAGTGTCACTGGAACTGTGAGAACCGAACCACAGAGCCGAAGTGGATCCAGCAGCAGCGTGGGGTCCGTCTGCAGAGGCATGGCAGGGCGCAAACTTCTGCTCTTACTTCTTCTGGGGCACTGGCTGCCCGGGCAGAGGGAGTGGCCGTGATGGGAGGACAGAAAAGGGAGAAGAACCCCAGGACACGAAGCCAAACTCCAAACTATATTCACTAATCAGTTTTTTGATCAAAAAATTCAAAATAGAGAAAACCACAAAGTACAAAAGCTTTCCTGATGCTTTTCATTATCATAGAACACGACACCTGTGATGTGTGCAAAGACATGGGGCGGAGGGAGAGGAGGCGAGCTGGGAAGGCTAGCGGCCAGTTCACTTCTTTTCTTTCTTCTTGTCCTACAGATGAAGAAAATCAGCTAGTCAGTCTTCCCGCTCTGATGCACAAACCCAATGAGTGAGCGTTGGCAAGGGTGTGGGGGACGTGGGCAGCGGAGAGAGGAGGGGCTCAGCATGAACGAGTCCTTTTGACCCTAGGCATGAGCCCAAGACAGCACCAAGGCCGGCAGCTGGGAGGAGCCAACCGCAGCTTCACTGTGTCCAGCCCAGCTGTGCCTCGGCCCACAGAGACTCAGCGAGCCCCGTAGTCACCTCTACAGCACTGCACTCACTGTCTGCCTGCTGACACCGCTACAGCACTGCACTCACTGTCTGGCATTCCTAAGTCAGGTTTATAAACGAAGGCCCACAGGTCTCTCTACTGTTGGACCACACTGACTATTAAAGTATTTTTGGGGGGAAAGAATTAAGATCAACAAAAATAAGATTAAGAAATAAGATAGGGCTGGAGAGATAAGCAGCAGTTACAAGCTCTGGCTGCTCGGGCAGACCTGGGTTTGACTGCCGGCACCCACACTGCGGCTCATAATTGTAGCTCCAGTTCCAGGGAATCCAGTGCATGCAGTACACATGTATACATGCAGGCACTCATAAATGCTCATTAAAAAAGAAAAAAAAGCTTTTAAAAACACACAGCAATGGTGCATGCCTTTAATCCCAGCACTTGGGAGGCAGAGGTGGGCAGATCTCAGAGTTTGAGACCAGCCTGGTCTACAGGGTGAGTTCCAGGACAGCCAGGGCTACACAGAGAAACTGTGTCTCCAAAAACAAAACAAAACAAACAAAAATACTTTTAAAAAATTGAAAGAAATTAACAAATGGATAAACGGATCCACTTCTGACATTCACAAGATAACGGCTGTCACTGGACGCCTTCTATAATAGCCTTTCCTGAGTCCTATCTTTGCAACCTTCAATTCTTCACAGGGTACAACCCTGCCGTCACAGACACCAAAGCTGTTTGCCATCTGCAACTCACCGAGGGAAGGGTCAGGTAAGACTTAAGGTCTTCTTACTCTGTCAGCACAGACCTTTGGTGCCCGTCCTGCGTGAGGGGCCTGCCTCTCACACACTTTGGTCTTACACAGTGTACAGTCCACTGCTCAGGATCTCCCACTCACACAGAGGCGGAGCAGGGCCCCTCTCTTCCGTGCAGGCTGCAGGCTGACTCACCTTCTCATTGAAGGCCAGGATCAGCATGAGCTTCCTGAAGAGTGTAATGAAATCCAGGAAGAGGTCGATGCAGTGCCTGAAAGAGAAGAACCAGCTCGCTCTCCGCACTTCCCGCTCTCCTTCAGCAGGAAACCCCAGGGAGCTGTCCAACCTGGGGTCCAACAGTCCACCCCAACACACAGTGGACACAAACATTCCAACTCAATAAATCCCCAAGGCATCAGGGTTAGACCATGCTCTGACAGAGACCAAGTCTGAGCCTGGAACCACCCATTACCAACACCTAGTGATGAGAGGAACGAAGGAGCACTACTTGACAAGTGAGACAGGCTCTCTCAGTACCGAGGGAGAGCAGAAACTCCTGGCTGCCTGGAGGTGGAGGCTGTTAACACTGTGCCCTGCTAGGGGTGGAGCTTAGCAGCAGTCCGCCTGGCCTGCTTGAGGTCAAGCCCCGTTTGTCCATCTTGTCCATCGGAGAATGCTTGCCTAGCACTGATCAGGCCCTGTCTCTAATCTCCAGCACTGCATAGACTGCTGGTGCATGCCTTTAATCCCAGCACTCAGGAAGTCGAGGGTCAGAAGTTCAAGGTCATTCTTTTTTTTTTTTGGTTTTGGTTTTTCGAGACAGGGTTTCTCTGTGGAGCCCTGGCTGTCCAGGAACTCACTCTGTAGATCAGGCTGGCCTCGAACTCAGAAATCCACCTGCCTCTGCCTCCCAAGTGCTGGGATTAAAGGCGTGCGCTACCACCGCCTGGCCATTCAAGGTCATTCTTAGCTGCACAGTGAGCTCACATGTGCGGTTATGGGATGGAACAGTGTGTCTCAGCCTGTGCTTGTCAGGCAGAGCAGGTCTCACACTTACCAGATGTAATCCTTATCTCCGTTTTCAGCCTTTTCAATAATGAGCTGAGTATCAAAGAGGACAAAGCCACACATGACCAGCAGCCCCAGGTACAGGTTTGCCTAACAAAAGCAAGACATCAAGTCACACGTGGTACTTGGTGCAGTGGGAAAACAACCAACTTGCAAATACATCACACACTAACCCAGAAGTCCATGTTACTTCCCCAAACACAATACTGCTCTCTTGCCTTGGGGTCACTAATCTGAACTTAGTAAACCCTGTTCTCCTGAGCTGCTAACCATGTCTTCCCACTGAGGCAGAGGCTGTGTCCCTATGAAGCCTCTTAAGGTTTGAAGGGCACTGCCCAAAGAAAGTGATGTTCTAGAAGGTTCACCTCTTTTGATTTAGAGTTAGGTAAGAAAAATGCAAGAGGCAAATAGCTGTTGGAAAGGTCTCTATAAAATCTCACCTGGAACAGCCAAATGGATCCAAAGAAAAGGTTCCCCAGGGAGGACAAGAACATGAGGCTCATAGCTGACATCAAGACACCTACAGGACACGGCAAAACTGTCGTGAGAAAACCCAAGGCGGGGCACAAGCAATCACATCGAGGCCATTTCTAACCTCTCCCCAGAGACCTGAGGTAGAACACACGGCCTAGTGATCGAATGGCTAGAGCAAGCCCAGAGCCTGTGTCCAGTCCTTACCTCCCAGAAACAGGTAGCTCCGGCGCCTGGCGTAGAGGGCACTCAGGCTGAAGCAGGTGAAGATCATGGCCGTGCCCATGAAAGCCGTGGGGAGGATGCTGTGAAGGACAAGGCTGTGAGCTGGGAGCCACGGTCTACAGTCGTGTGGCGGGTCACAAAGGTGTAAGGACACGGACAATACAGTTACCTGGGGTTGACAGCGATGCACAGCTCCAGAGCAGGTCCCAGGCCAACTCCTAGAAGCAAACCGAGGAACACAAATCCTGTCAGTTCTCAAGAGGGTCCTCATCCAAAGGCTGGTCACAAAAACAAGCACACAAGCCAACACTACTTTTTACTCCACCCTTTCCTCCTTTCAAGAGAATATATAACTAAATTAACTGATATATCAGTCCTCTGAGCTCAAAACCATGAAGTTAGAAACAACAAAAAGGCAGAAACATCAAATATATCTCTGAGACTGTAATGTGGGCCAGGCCAGAAACAGAACAGGATAAAAACAGGCATGGACTGGCGGCCAGAAACCTCACAGTCCTGCAGAATCAACCTCATTGGAAGTAAAGGGCAACCAGACCAGCTGTGTGGGGTATCACGTGGCAACAGGAGAGCAACTTGTCCCGGCCCAACACTTCTGTGCTGGCTATTTCCTCTTCTGATAATCTACCCCTAATACCTTAAAGACCAGAGTTCCCTGAGCCCCAAGTTGTAATTCCTAAGTTTCTTCCTTCCTAAAATCTCCTTACCACTGTATAGACTAGACCGTCACTGAGAACTCTTACCACTGTATAGACTAGACCGTCACTGAGAACCCTTACCACTGTATAGACCAGACCGTCACTGAGAACTCTTACCACTGTATAGACTAGACCGTCACTGAGAACTCTTACCACTGTATAGACCAGACTGTCACTGAGAACTCTTACCACTGTATAGACTAGACCGTCACTGAGAACCCTTACCACTGTATAGACCAGACTGTCACTGAGAACTCTTACCACTGTATAGACCAGACTGTCACTGAGAACTCTTACCACTGTATAGACCAGACTGTCACTGAGAACTCTTACCACTGTATAGACCAGACCGTCACTGAGAACTCTTACCACTGTATAGACTAGACCGTCACTGAGAACTCTTACCACTGTATAGACCAGACCGTCACTGAGAACCCTTACCACTGTATAGACTAGACCGTCACTGAGAACCCTTACCACTGTATAGACTAGACCGTCACTGAGAACCCTTACCACTGTATAGACCAGACCGTCACTGAGAACCCTTACCACTGTATAGACCAGACTGTCACTGAGAACCCTTACCACTGTATAGACTAGACCATCACTGAGAACCCTTACCACTGTATAGACTAGACCGTCACTGAGAACTCTTACCACTGTTTAGACTAGACCATCACTGAGAACCTGGTATGAGTCAGCACACTGCCTTTAAAGTACTTTACTACATTGCTCAACACTTGTTTCCTTTCATGAGAATTCTAAAATAGATGAGCTTTTTTCCCCCCCCAAGACAGGGTTTCTCTGTGTAGTCCTGGCTGTCCTCAAACTTGCTCTGTAGACCAGGCTGGCCTCTAACTCATAGATCTGCCTGGGTGTGCCACCACACCCAGCAAGAAATAAACTTTTGCCTAGATTCTCTCTTAGTTTGTGCCTGCCATTTAAAGTCATGGACCTCATTTGTTTGGGTCACATCTTTTTTTTTAATATATAAAAATAAGTCATAGTTTGCTAGCTATAAAGTACTAGCTAGAAGGTGCTTAACTGTATATGCAAGATGAACCTGCATCAAACAAGGAAATAGAACAAAGCAAAACGACCAACCAACCAGCCAACCTCCAGTACAAGTCTACTGACTGGTGAGCACAAAGCAAGGAGCCTGAAGGGAGAGATCACAGCAATGTCGTGGAATGTAGGGAAACTACAGAGCTGTTCTGAAACATCTGTACAAAGACTAAGACAACCTGCCCACATACCTGTAAGGAAGGCGAAGCCAGCAAGAAGCCCCAGCCTTTTCTGCTCAGTCTCACGGCTGTGAGGTGTGGCCATCAGCCAGATCATCAAGGCCAAGGAGCCCAGGGCGGAGAGCAGGCCAGCCTGTCGGAGCCAGCCAGAAACAAGTAGTTAAAGACTCACATTTATACGTTTAAATGCTCATCTGACATTTCTAACATCTGCTTCTTCACCTAGAAGCAGAGGAAAAGGTAGTACGTTCTCAGAGCGAGGGGGCAGGGAGACCAGAAGCCTTGAAGGTGAGGGCTAGGACCACGGTTGATGGCAAAGGCTCTGTGTGGTCCATCAATTACAGAACTACTCAAGCCAAAACAGGAATGTTGGGTGGAAAGGACCCCTTTGTCCACTTAAAGGAAAAAGGGAAACACAAGAATCACCTGTGTGATTCCCAGGGCTCAGCAGTTACAGGAAGAAACTCGCACTGTGGCCCACATAGGGCCATGTGTGCACATGGGCACGTCCTCATGGCCTCTGGCATGCTACTTTACATGTTTGCAAAGAGGGCTGAGCAGTGATCCAAGCACACTTGAATCCTCAAATACAAAGTCAGTTTGTTTGAGAACGGACTGAATTTTACATTACTTCAAACAACACACAACTAGAAAACAAAAAAACCGACCTAGAACTTGCTTTGAACTCCAGGATCAAAGCCTTGCCCTTCTGAGTGCCTAGAGCGAGTTTTCATGTAGTCCTTGGCAGGAGATGCCAGAACAAAAGGACAGTCTATGACAGTGACAAATGCCAACATAGAGCACACACCTCTGCACCTATGCCAAAAGCAGGCACTCTAAAGCCTGGCTGCGAGGAAGCTTCAAACTTCTTGATTATTCTTTAAAAATAAAAAATGTGTCTTCTACCTCTGCCGGTCAAACCTAAACTCTCCTCTGTAAGACAGCGAGTCACTGAAGGTTTCACCAGGCAGGAAGATAACTAAATGGGTCAAATCTGTACAAGTCCCAGTCTTGCCTCTTCTGACAACTAACTGTACAACTGGTTCCAAGTATCCCACAGTCACCAAGGAAACAAAAGAAACGGTGGGATGGCAAAAGCCATGGAGTGCCAGCACCTAGTTTAAGCTGAGGACGGGGTCTCGCATGTCAGCAACGACAGCCATATATCTTCAGGGGGCTAAGTGTCCAGTGGAAGAGACTGCTGGGTTCAGTGAGTGTCTAGAGGAAAACAGCTACCAATAAACTCAAAGAGTTTAATAATGTGAATACTGGCTGGCTAATTCTGAAACCGAACTATTGATCAAGATATTAAAGAGGGGCATAGGAATAGGCTACCCTATCAGAGTGCTGTTACACCCAGAGAAAAAACTGAACGAACGAATGAATGAATGAACAAATGAATGAAACTTACCTGGATGAAGTGTGTGACCACATGGACATAGGCCCCTGCTGCCGCCACAAACATACATAGTGCAAAACTGGCGTAGACCTTCTTTAGGTGCTGCTGTGTCGAGGGAGTTCTAGGAAAGAGTGTTTACAATACATCATGTCTTGATGCATGTGCTCATCTAAGCTGCAGTTATTTCTAGCTCTCCTTTGCCAGAGGAGGAAGTGAAGGCTCTATTATCAACAGTTTGAGATACTTTGGGAAGAACAAATTATAATAAAAAAAGAATGTTTAGAAAATGAGTTAACAGAATTTTTAAATCCTCAAGAAGAGCCCAAACCCAAAATACATGAGCACTGAGTAACCAAACCAGAACCAAGGACTTGCCAGAGACTACACAGCATCCCTAGAACCTGACGACTTATGCTAGGCTTCTCTGGAATCTGGCCAATTTGTTACTGCCACATATAAAAGAAACTAGGTATGACCAGAAATATGAGGGCCACAGCAAGATTAAATCACTTACATGTGGGAAAATTTTAAGAGGGCATCAAAGTTGATCTTCCGATCAAATATATTCATGGCTCCAAGTCTGTTCAGCACAGCCTCCGCTGAGAAGAAAGAAGAGCTTGTTTATAGACATGAGGACATGCAAGAGCACAGGCGTCTTTCTTATTTAAAAGAAAACAAAAAGACAGTACACAAGTTTTGAAAAATTATAAGTTCCCCATCACTCTTCATGAAGACATGAAACATCTTCTCCTTGAAAGTATTTTACTATCATTTGATTCTCTTATTTTACAAAGTAATTACAATTTCTAAAGAACAAATTCATCCTTGAGAAAGACAATTTATAAGAAAAAATTTCAGTGAGCAATCTAGTTAAAGAAGCCTGCTACCATCAGGGCATTCTTGCTGTTTCTGGTTTTTATTCTTTGAGTGTGGGGTCCACACGAGTGGGAGTGGCATGTGGGGATCAGAGGTCACTTCTGGGAGTGAGTGCTCACCTTCCCCAGGCAGCATGGGGGCTGAGGACTGAACTCAAGGCTCAGCAAGCCAAGCGCTTATATGGCCTTGGATCAATTATGCCATTGCTTCATGAAACTAAAGAACGCTCTCAGAAAAGGAACCTCAAAGATTAAAAAAAAAAAAAAACGCCAAAAAGGCATTTACTTATTTATTTCAGACATGGTCTCACTATATAGTCTTAGCTGGCCTAATGTTATTGTTTTATTTTAGGGGTATGTGTGTGTGTACACGTGTGTTTACATACATGTATACCGCATATGACCATATGCACCTAGTGCCCAAGGAGGCCAGAAGAAAGGATGTGATTACAGGGAACTGCAGTTATGGGAGATTATGAGTCACCTATTATGGGTGCTGGTAACCAGACAGAGCCTCTCTAAGACCTGCAAGTGCTCTTATCTGCCGAGTTACCCCTCCTGCTCCCTCCAAACCTTTCTGTTTGTCTAAGACAAGCTCTTACTAGAGGCTCTGACTAGACTGGATCTTGCTATGCAGACAAGGCTAGCCTTGAACTCAGCTCTGCCTGCCTCAGCCTCCCAAGTGCTGGGATTAAAGGCATGCCCCACCATGGCTGGCTTCCTTGGAATCTCATAGAAGATTGTAATCATATACACACTCACTTATATTCTGTGTAAATCTTTGTGTATATTTGTGTGTGTGCTCTCTCAATTGTGTGTGTGACTGTGGACACATGCTTGCCACAGCATGCATGCTGAGGTCAGAGGGTGGTGACCTTGGTCCTCACCTCCACGTTGACACCGTCACTTTGTTCTCACTATTATACGTCAGGCTAGTCTCCTGTGAGACTTTATTGTCTCTCCCCAACCATGCCTGGCTTTTACATGGTTCTGAGGACTTAAATTCAGGTCCTTAACATTTTCATGAGAAACACTTAACCACTGAGCCACCTCTTCAACCCACTTGATATTCTCCCCTTAGAGTTTCTAAATGTTAATAACTACTCTTCCCCTCGTCCATACAGAGCAATATTTAACATAAAGAATATTTTTCCTAAGCAGTCTACACAATGCTCTAATATTTAAGTGTATATATCCTGAAAGCTCATCAAAACCAGAACATGACGACGCAGTGTTATCCCTAAGACAAGACCTTACTAGAGGCTCTGATTAGACTGGATCTTGCTATGTAGAGCACAGACCTTATTCCAGTTTTCCTAACAGTCCCAGTGTTAGATGGTGGCACTTTAGATTCAAAGCAGGGCATCTGCCATCCCCTTCCCACCGTGAACCTTGGGGAGTCAAACATGTAGGCAGTGAAACTGCCTCCCCCACCACCCCAGAAATTTAAAAGCAAAAGCTAAAACCCAACCAAACCACATCCAGGTTACATCATGCCAATACCATAAAGCCATATTAACTGCTGCTCCTCTCTCTCATGCAACCCAGAACAGTCCACACAATCAGATCTAGTTCAGAGCTTTCTCTCCTAAATAGATCCTAAACATTGTTACTAAACACACAATGTCCACTCTATTCCTAATCTGCCAAAAAGGGGGCAGGGGAAGGGGAAGAACCATTAACCTGCAATCTAAGTTACAAACAACCTCTGAGGAATCGCAGAGCAGTAGAAAGACGCATTCTTACAGTTCTGTAAGTCACCACCCCAGGCTCTCTCCCCTCCAAGGAAACGATCACAAAGGTTCCTGGCTGGCTTTCGCATCACAGCCCTGCTTACCTTGAGTCTTAGTATTTAGGCTCTAAGAACAGATCTGGAGAAGCTGCAAACCCACTACGGCTGCTGCTCTACTCTCTGAGTCACCAGCCCCTGCGCCCTCTTGATCCAGATGGTGCAACTATTGCAGGCTGTTGCAAGGCCAAGCAGTCTTCCACAACCACGATGAGTTCACTCCCCAGAGAGCACACTTACAGGACGGGACAATCCAGCGACTGGAAAGTGTCTGTAAGGCTTCCATTAACCCTCCTAATGACATCCCCAGGGAGAACCTGCAACCTACAGTCAAGTTTCTCAGCTCTCACAGTCCGAGAGCTAACATACATCTTGCTTCCAATTTCAAGCATCAACAGGGGAGGGGCCCTAAAATACCCAGGGGATTGTTAGTCAGAAAGGGGCAATACTCATGTAATCAGACCCCTCTGAGGGGAAACTGACAGAGAGCACAAAGAACTCTTCTTTCCCAGTTTGCTCTTTGACATGTTCCAGAAGGTACTGCCTGCCTCTTTCTGGGGCTTTCAGTTGATTTAAAAAAAAAAAAAAATGATGGGGGAGCTGGAGAGGGGGCTCAGCAGTTAAAAGCACTGGCTACTCTTTCCCAGGACCACGAGAGCACACACATGTCGGTCTACAGCTGTAAGCCCAGTTCCAGGGGATGCTATGCCCTCTGCTAAACCCTGAGGGTACCAGGTACACATGCACTGCACAGACATATTTGCATACAAAACACTCACACACTCTAAGAAAACGGGGGGAGGGGGCACGAAGAAGCCTGTGGGTAAGGATGAGGACACCAAGTACTCAGCTTTACTTAAGCCACACACACCGTCCTCCCTCCTCAGGCATCGATGGGAAACGCAGTCTCACAACGCAGCCAGCCCTTTCATCCCAAGTATCCCAAGTGCTAGGATTCCATCTGTCACACCAGGGTAAAATTTCCACGGTTTGGTTTCACTACCTATTTCTTAAACAACAGGGTTTCTCTCTGTGTCCCCAGCTGTCCTAGAACTTGCTTTGTGGACCAGGCTAACCTCAAACTCAGAGATCCACCTGCCTGCCTGGGCCTACTGAGTGCTGGGATTAAAGGCATATACCACAACACCCAACCTATGTCAAAATTTAAGTGAAATATGTTTACAGCAAGTTTAATACTGTTACAGAGGGGTAGGAGAGCAATCAAGGTCTGAGAGATGGCTCACGGGTAAAAACACTGGCTCTGTAGCCCGAGGATTAGGTTTCACCCCCAGGTCCCACAGTGAATGAAGAGTGCTGACTCTGAAAAGTCCTCCTCAAGCCTCCACATACATGCTGGGTCATGCATACAGCCATGGTCACTCGCAGCACGTACAGACACAGTAATAAAACTTCTAAGCTTTTTTAAAGTAGTAATGTATACACCTAGTGTACATATATTTCATTTTGGAAATGGTAAAATGAGGGAAAGCAGGCCTCAGAAGGAAATGTTGTTCCAAATTATCAAGAATAAAAGTATAAACAGAGATAAAATGCTCCCTCAAGGTTCTGTTTCTATTCTTGAGACAGATTCTCACTATGCAGCCCTGGCTGGCCTGGTACTTACAGAAGAAATTCAACTGCTTTTGCCTTCAAGGTGCATGCTGCCATCCCAGGCTCTGACCTACGCACTTAAAAAAAATACTGGACTAGAATACATCTCACCTGCCTAGCACAAGTGAAGCCCTAGGTTCAATCCCAGATACTACAAAAATAATTACTATCCCAGTGTATGTGGTCAAAACTGCCCCAAAATTCACTATAATATTTCTGACACACAACTAAGACTATTAAAAAAAAAATCCAACAACTCAGGTATGGTGGCACAGCTCTGGAATATCAGCACTTTGGAAACAAAGCCAGGATAAATGTAACTTTGGGGGCAACCTGGGCTAAATAGTGAAGCTTCGTCTTAAAAAAGAAAATCACTGACTTATCTCATCATAAACTCTAACTCATACAGAAGTCCATAAACAGAACCTGAGTTCTAGAAAAACTAAAGTCTTGAAATAGCATGAGATTATTTACACAAAATTAAATGGCAGTGCCTCCTGGGGTCATGGGGAATTTGCTTATACTGCATGTATTAAAAAAGAAAGAAAGAAAGAAAGAAAGAAAGAAAGAAAGAAAGAAAGAAAGAAAGAAAGAAGAAAGGAAGAAAGAAGGCAGGCAGGCTCAAGTGTCTTAATTACAACCCAAACCCTTTGACTATATGCTTCATTTTATGCCTTATCTTTTTGTTTTGTTTTTTGTTTTGTTTGTCTTTTCAAGACAAAGAGACACAGAGCTTCTCTGTGTGACCCTGAGTGTCCTGGATCTCAAGACATCCCCCTGCCTCTGCCTCCCAGTGCTGGATCAAAGGAGTGCGCACCACCGCTCAGCTCTATGCCACTATCTTTAAGGCAGCAGGAACAGAACGAACAGAATCCATCAAACTCTGTCATACATACTGCTAAAGCTTCCCTGAAGTGTCACCAGAACTGTGGCTAACAGGGCCAGCCTCCTGCCAAAGCCATCCCAGATTATACAACAAAAAGCAAAAGCGGGAGAAACATTAATCCTGCCATTCTGGAAGGCTGAAGAGGACAGGACATTCAACAACATCCGGTGTTTCACAGTTGAGACTTACTAAAAACAAAACCACCCCCAGCCTGAGGGCATGGCTTAGTGACAGAGCACTTGCCCAATTTCATCAAGGCCCGCCCTACATTCAACCACCAGTGCTCAAACACACTCAAACACACTCAAACACACACACACCCCAAAAACTTCCAAGTTTACTGCATAGCTGCACCATGGAAGAGCCAGGTATTTCTGTGACCTCCTTTTGCTCGGGGATAAAGCCTATCCAGTCTTGTTAAATCCCTTGTTTCCGTTCCAGGTGCCCTTCTTACCCTTGTCTTAAAACAAAAGATTATTATCTAATAATGGTCATGCCTTCCAAGTGTGTACATGCACACACAAAACCTGCAGCACTGGAGAGAAGCTCTGTGAGAGAGTGCTTAAAAGCATGCAAAAGGCCCTGCCCACACTGAACACAAACTGTAACTAATCATGAAGGCTTAGCAGACAGGAGGACGAGATGTCAATCAGATAAGGAGGAAGTGTGAGAAAACACGCTGGAGGAACGTGATAAAGCTCACTTCTGGTTAGAACGCCCTTTGTTTAAATGGCATACTTTCCCTCTATCACACTCACACTGCCCCTCTTGCCCCAGAGGGTGCTAAGTGCTCTGAGACAGCCCAATAACTACTAAGTGATAAGCGGCCATGGTGGAGTTTGTTAAAGTGCAATATTAGCTTGATGTTTTTCTTGCTACCCTAGGAAGTAGTCACTCAATTTCAAGGCAATCCAAAGTATCCTGTTTCAACTAAGGCTGGGCCTACATCGTAAGACAGTGGTTCTCAACTCTCCTAATGCTCTGACCCTCTAACATACTTCCTCAGGCTGTGGTGACTGCCAGTCACAAAATTATTTTTGTTGCTAGTTCATAACTATAATTTTGTTAATGTTTTGAATCATAAATGTCTGATATGTAGAATATCTGCTTTTCGACCCTGATGAAAGGGCCGTTCAACCCCAGGTTGAAAGCTGCTGTCCCAAGGAGACCTGAAGTCCTAGAGCTCTTACCTGAATAAAAAATTCCCAGGTTATGCCGGGCAGTGGTGGCGCACGCCTTTAGCCCCAGCACTTGGGAGGCAGAGGCAGGCGGATTTCTGAGTTCGAGGCCAACCTGATCTACAGAGTGAGTTCCAGGACAGCCAGGGCTACACAGAGAAACCCTGTCTCAAAAAACAAAAACAAACAAACAAAAAAAAAAATTCCGGGGTTAAGCTATCACTGTATTCATCTCTGGAGAGGGTTGCCTCAGAACCAAGACCATCATTACTGAAGAAATGCCTATTTGCAATTTTTTTGAGACAGGGTCTCTCTATATAGCCCTGGCCATCCTATAACTCATAGAGCAGGCTGGCCTTGAACTCATGAAGATCGGACTGCCTCTGCCTCCAGAGTTCTGGGATCAAAGAGGTAGGCACCACTTCGCCTGGCTCAAATTTATTATTTTGAACCAACTACTGAATTTCCTTCTCTGAAACTGCAACTCTTTGGCAGAAGTAAAGCATAAAAAGGTTTCAATGTTTAAATACACAATCTTCCATTAGAAACCAACAGTCCCTCCCACTGTTTATTCGCCGCACTAAAAAGAACACGCATAAATCAGGAACAAGAGCGACCTGCAACCTCAAGACTTATTTACTGTTAAGTGTATTGGTGTTTGCCCTGCATCTGAACCAGGGAGCCAGATCCCGCGGAACAGTTATGAGCTGCCATATGGGAAGAGAACTGGAAGAACAGCAGTGCTCTTAATCATTGAGCCAAGCCCCAAGCCCCAAAACTTCAAGTCACCCTTCCTCAGCTAGCCCAGTAGATCCTACTCAGATGCAATCCTTTCTCTCTAGTCTTGAATACTGTATTCAGGAAGTGTGTACTACTATGAAATCTGGTTAGAAAGTCTCTGGAAACAAAAGAGGATGAACTAGAAGGCATCTGTACCAGAGCCTACAGCCAAATCAAAGGACCAACACGTAGAAGGGAGAACATCCTGAGTGGCTGGTTCCTCGAGGGAGACCAATGCCCTTGGGTAGTTTATGAAATAAAATGAAACTCTTCAAGTCAGTGCATTATCTCCAGTGATAACAAGGATCAATGTGACCCCTTCTGGATGTGCAGGGACAGTGCTCAAGACAGCTGAATTGACAAAGCAGAAAGGGGGCAGGCAATAATTCATGGCCTAGTGTTTAATTAAATGTGTAAAGTGTTTGACTTGCTAGTTTAGATGTTAAATGCATACACCAAGATATAACAACATTAGCTTCACATTAAGTCCAAGAGGCACACAATAAAGGTTTTTCTTTTTCTTAACGGCTGTGTGATAGTGGTAATAGAAACAGATCTGGAATTTCAAATCCTGCCTTTTCTACCACATAACCGTGAGAAAATAGTTTTACTTAATCTCACTTCCCTCTTCAACTATAACATAACACATGATTAATACCAGTTCTACTGACTCTCAATAAGAAACACATGGACTGCCGGACAGTGGTGGCGCAGGCCTTTAATCCCAGCACTTGGGAGGTAGAGGCAGGTGGATTTCTGAGTTCGAGGCCAGCCTGGTCTACAGACTGAGTTCCAGGACAGCCATGGCTATACAGAGAAACACTGTCTCAAAAAAAAAACAAAAATATACAGAGAAACCCTGTCTTTAAAAAAAGAAAAAAAAAAAAGAAGAAGAAACACATGGATGACTTCACAGCATGCAGGGTGCTAACCCGACATTAGTACTGATCTGACCAACATCAGAAAGTGGAAGCAGGGGAGTCAGAACCAGCTTCAGGTCTCCTGACCTCTCTGGTGCAGTGCCACTTCACCCACACAGAAAAACACGCTTTCAACAAGGCAGTTCCTTAACTCCCCAGAACAGATGTCGGTTCCCCCCACAATGTATTTTTTTAGCATTTCTACCAAGACCATGAACTTTATCTGTAACAAGGAAAAACTGGAAATGCTAAATATCCGAATATTAATGACGCCTTTTCCTAGTCGTTAGGAAAGCAGGACTTCAGATAGACAGGGAGAGCAGGGCCCGGGTACAGAACCTGATTTCCCCATGATGAATAACGGAAGAGGGAAACTGTGGATCCCAGTGACAGGCCGAGTCTCTCAAGGACTCCAGCCATTCCCTACTAGAAGAAAATGGAGGGAAATCTAAATGTCCGCTTGTTCAGTTAAAGCCCCAAAACAATTTAGACAATAAAGAAACACCAAAGAAAATAAATTTAGCAATTGCAGACTTAAAGTGTGTTCACAGAAGCCATGAAAACGTGATTATGCTTTTTTGACCCAGACCTCCTGAGCCACCCTACCCATACAGCCGCAAGATAAACTACATACCAATATTAATAAATAACTACAAAGTCTGCCGTTGACCTTCGGCCTTAAAATTCTTGTTCGCGTTTCAAGCAGTCAGCTAGTCTAAAGTGTTACACATTCACAGGTAGTTTGTGTAACTGGAGAGTCTCAAGTTCAAAGTGGTTTTGTTGTTTGGCCAACAGAAGCCTGATTGGACAGGCAAAGCAACCTGCCCTGGCACCAAAGAACTTGGTTTTTTTTGTTGTTGTTTTAAAAAGAAAAGAAAGAAACGAAGACAGGCAGGCCAAAGCCTACTTATCAGAGGCTTTAGGAAGTCAGTCCAAGGAAAACATCGCCGCCCTTCCGGGGCAGACTTTGGGACTCACCCAGGGTTCAGGACCAAGCAATCAAGGCCACCTCACCTGTCCAGAGGTAACCAATCAGATCAGAGTGGGGCTGCTCCGTGGGGCTGGGGAGCCCAGCCAAGCCCAGGGCTTCTCACCTCTGCCTCTACCGTTGGCTTCTAAGTAACTAAGGAATCTCGCGTGTCATAGTGAAGTGTGACATCACCTGGCCCGCCGTGACAGGGCAGTCTGCCTAACCAGGCCTGCCTCAAGTCCTCAACCCCGACGGCTCACCCAGACGGGGCAGAGGAACCCAAGAAGGAGCAGCGGAGCAGCAGCGATCGCTGGGTGGGGCGGAGTGACCACAACGACACAGCTTTCTCTTTCGTTTACCTCAAAGTCAGGAGTAAGGGACCTGTCTCGAATTCAAGCTCTGAACTCGGCTGAAGGGAAAGGGACCCAAGCGAGTGTCGCTAAGAGGCCTTCACCACAGAGACAGGCCCAACTGCCCGGGAGACCCCGCAGACTCGCCCCCGCCGGCGCTGCTGCGCATGCGCGGCACTAGTTCCTCCGCGTCCCTCCCCGCCCAGCTTTCCTTCGAGCTCGACGCAGAGCAGGCCGGGTTCCCTAAGGAGCTGCTCTGCCCGAAAACGGAAGCTACTACCCACCCCTGCTCTCGCTCCCTCCCTATCCCTCACTCCGGGTTTATCCGATCCTAGTTTCGCACGTACCTTCTTAGCCCACCTCTCCGGAGCTTCCCCGCTCTGCTAAAACCGGATGTGCTCTGCGTCTCCGGGGGTTGGCGCTGGAAGTCTACCCACATCCGCCCCTGGGAAGCCCCGCCCTCAGACCCGCCCCTGAAAGTTTTCATTGGTCCCCGGCTGCACTGCCGTCTGTCTGTTGGCTGCACGTTCATAAACAGCAGCCGCTTTCGTCAGAGTCATCGGCTAATACTCTTGTCAATCAAGACTGTGGCCACCAACCGGCACCTTAGCAATAGGCCTCCGCCTTCTTCCCCCATAGGAAGGATGGACGTCGGTCTGGTGACCCATGGAATAGGAAAAGTGAAGTGGGGCGTGTCAGGCTTAGACCGCGGTCTTATGAGACCACCCACGGCACTAAAATGTCCCAAGATTTCTGGTTTTAGGCTGCTCGTGGAATGGTAAAGAAGGAAAGCGAGGCAACCCTCCCTGGAATCTTTTGTTTTGTTTTGCGAGACGGGGTTTCTCTGTCCTGGCTGGCCTGGAACTGTCTGTAGACCAGCCTCCCAAGTGCTGGGATTAAACACAGACGCCACCGACGCCCAGCTTCCTCGAGACCTTTTAACGTTGACTATAATGGATCTTAAGCTTCAGAGCACCTTTGAAGGTTCAGCCATTCTATAGGGACCCAGGGATCCTAGCCTGGAGGATTTGAGGCCACCCGGTAGCCCTGGAGCCCCAAGCAAACTGGCTACAAAGACCACACCACCTACATGGAAGTGGGTGATTCTTTATACTTACCAAAGGCTCTGTAAGTCAGGTGTAACAGGGCAGCAAAGACCTGGTCTTGCAATCCTAACCACCTCTTTAGAGACCTGGCCAAGGGCGGTCAAAGAGCAGGTGGTTCCCTGCCTCCCCCCTCTAGGGCGTGTTCCCTTGCACAACCAGTGCAAGAACTAGTAAGGCGCTGTGAAGCTAATTTAAAAAGAAAGAAAGAAAAAAAAAACCAACAGGAGCCTTATTTTATTTTCATTTTTGCGGCCTACGCTTTAAAACATCGATTTCACAACTCATTAGTACTGTCTGAAATCACAAGTATAGAACGGGTTCCAGCTGGGGCCTGGGTGGTTGAGGGCTACATGCTGAAACAGGGCCCTGGAGGACTCCAGAGAGAGGCAGCGTGAGGAATGTGTAGAATAAAGGTGGAGCCTCTCAGCTCTGCTTCCAGTGAAGCCCTTAGACTGACCATGGTCTGGGCCATTTTACCTACGCACTCAGGAGGGAGAGGCAGATAGATCTCTGGTCTGAGACCAGCCTGGTCTACAGAGTTCCAGGACCACGGAGAAACAGGGGTAGCGGGTGGGGGTGGAGGGTGGACCGGAGAAAGAGAGAGATAGAGAAGGAGGGAGGAATAAGGAGGAGGAAGGAGGAGGAAGGAGGAGGAGGAGGAGGGGGGGGGGGGGAGGGGGAGGAGGAGGAGGAGGAGAAGGACATGTGGGGGAAGCAAGCAAGCTAGCATTCTGGAGATGGAGGCAGGAGGATCTGAAGTTTCTGGACAGCGTGAACTAAGGACATCCTTGTTCATCAGTATATTCCCTGCCAGATGTAAATTAGTTATGTAAATTAGAATTAACAATTAAAAATCTGCGAGGTATGATGGCATAGGCTTTTAAACCCAGCATTCAAAAGAGAGAGGGAGGCAGATCTCTGAATATGAAGTCCACTTGGTCTGTATGATGAAACCCTGTCCAGGAAAAAAAAAAAAGCAAGAGTTTAAAGGAAAATGAAATGAAACCAAAAGGAAAAAGGGGCTGAAGAGATGGTTCAGTAGTTGAAAAGCACCGGTTGCTCTTCCAGAGGTCCTGGGTTTAGTTCCCAGCACCTGCTTAATAGCTCACAACTGTGTAACTCCAATTCCAGGGGATCCAACATCCCTCACACAGACAGACATGTTGTGATAATCTTGGAATTTCAGTTTCTTTAAAAAACACAGAAATATAAGAATGTGTTTTTATTTTAGTCCCAGGTGTGGTATATGGGGCTGCTTCAGTTTGTCGACAGCAGCTGACTATGATTTGCCTCATGCTCTGACAGGAGGCATGATTTTGCCAGCTGCAGATAGTTTTTACAATTTCGTGACATTTGGAATTCTGAGAACTTTTCAGAAGATATAAAACTGCTAGGGCCCTTGGGCTGGAGAGATGGCTCAGCGGTTAAGAGCACTGACTGCTCTTCCAGAGGTCCTGAGTTCAATTCCCAGCAACCACATGGTAGCTCACAACCATCTGCAATGGGGTCTGATGCCCACTTCTGGTGCGTCTGAAGAGAGCAATGGTGAATACATAAAATAATAAAATAATAAAGCTTTTAAAAAATGCTGGGGCCCTGAAAGGTGGGATGGGTTGTTGGTTGGGGTTTGTTAAGTAAGTAGTTGTCACCAAAGAAGAAATGAGAAGAAGAAATTAGGTATCTTGACAGTGAAGGTCAAACTTGGACCCCAGAAACATGACCGCCCCCAGTCAATAGGAAGTAGTCTAACGATAACGTGGCCTCCTTTCCAACCCCTGATTTTATTCAGGAATCTTCTCCCTTTCGTCTCCATCTGTTTTCCTCTTACTAGTGTGAGGGGATCGTGAAGGAGGAGAAGGATGGAAGAAAGAAGGACCCACAAAATAGGAAAGGGCAAACTACACACACATGCAGGCAGAACACCAATGCACATAAAGCTTAAATTATAAGATTACTTCTGTAACGCTAGTATTGCAAAGTTAAGAGGCATGAGGACCATCGCCGGTTCTTGGCTCACACTAATTACACAGCAGGATGTTCCCTATTGGGAAAAACTAATCAAAATGAACACAAATATTTAAAATTAGACAAAAAAAAAACCTTAACAAAACTGATTTTTCTAAATCTACATAGCTCGGGCTAGCCACAAATTCAAGCAACTCATTAGCTTTGAACTCAACCTATTTACCCTCACTTTCTGACTGCTGGGATTTCCGACACACACCAACTCCACTCCAGGTTGCTCTTGAGACCTGCTCCAAAGTACTAATTTCAAACACTGAGATGGAACAAATCAATACACTTTTCAAAAATACACATTTCAGGCCAGGCATGATGGCATAGGTCTTTAGTCCCAGTACATATAAGGCAGAGGCAGGTGGATCTCTGAGTTCAAGGCCAGCCTGGTGTACAAAATGAGTTCCAGGACAGCCAGAGCTACAGGAAAAAAACTGTCTTAAAAAAAAAAACACACAAACAGAACAAATGAGTAGACAGACAAACTTTGGTAGAGCCATACGATGAAACATGACTTAGCCACGAAAATGGATGTTGGCCAAATGTAACAGTAATTTCAAACCTTGCAAGTTTCGGGTTAGCTTAGTTTTAGTCACTGTTGTTTTTCAAACAAAATCCCAAACATTAGATTTTTATCAAAAGAAAACACAAGAGCCAGATGCTGTGGTGAAAACCTGCTAGCTCAGAGAAGCAGAGAAAGCACCCAGCTGACCCTCCTCCTCAAGTCCCAGAAGGAAAATCCCCGTTCCCTTCCAGCTGAATGTCCCTTCTTTCTACTTCCTGTTGGTCTAACCATCCTCCTGATTCCTCTCACTCCCTATGGGTTTTTCCTATGTTCATCACCTGTCAACTGGTTGCTTTCTCTGCCTCTTGACCTATGGTTGATGTTTTTCAGTCTGGTTTATGGGTTATGCAATCTGGTTTATGATAAACAGAAAGATCTTGGACTAAAGGTGTGTGCTAAGGCTGAGCCACGCCACACTAGAGACAGGTTTTTTTCCAGTATAAAATCTCAGGGTTCGCAGTATAAGCAGATAGATACCCTGTAACAAGTCACTGTTCTATGGCTGTAAAGAGACACTGTGACCAAGTCAACTCTTGTAAAAGAAAGCCTTTAACAGAGGGGCTTGGTTACAGTTCTAGAAGGTCACGGTGGGAAGCAGGCAGGCAACGGAGGAGTAGTTGAGAGCTTTATGTTCTGATCTGCAGGGAGCAAGCAGGCAGGGTCGTGAGCTGGGCCCTTTTTTTGTTTTGTTTTTTGTTTTTTGTTTTTCGAGACAGGGTTTCTTTGTATAGCCCTGGCTGTCCTGGAACTCACTCTGTAGACCAGGCTGGCCTCGAATTCAGAAATCCTCCTGCCTCTGCCTTCCAAGTACTGGGATTAAAGTCTTAAAGGCATGTGCCACCACCGCCCGGCTGAGCTGGGCCCTTTTAAATCAATCATCAATCAAAAAAATGCATCGTCGGGCGGTGGTAGCGCACGCCTTTAATCCCAGCACTTGGGAGGCAGAGGCAGGCGGATTTCTGAGTTCGAGGCCAGCATGGTCTACAGAGTGTGAGTTCCAGGACAGCCAGGGCTCCACAGAAAAACCCTGTCTGGAAAAACCAAAAAAAAAAAAAAAAAAGAAAAAAAAAAAAAGAAAATGCATCACAGGCTTGCCCATAGATCAATATAGCAGAAGCATTTTGAGAAAAGGGGTCCCCTCTTCCAAAATGACTATAGCTTGTGTCAGACTGATTTAAAACTAGCCAGTATAACAGTATACCGAAAATCACTGATCTATGTATTTGCATGTTTTTGTTTTGTTTTGTTTTGCTAGAATTAAAGGTTGACCAACCAGGGCTGGAGAGATGGCTCAGCGGTTAAGAACATCGTCTGATCTTCCAGAGGTCCTGAGTTCAAATCCCAGCAACCACATGGTGGCTCACAACCATCTGTAATGGGATCTGATGCCCTCTGCTGGTGTGTCTGAAGACAGCGACAGTGTACTCACATACAATAAAATAAATAAATCTTTAAAAAAAAAATAGGTTGACTAACCTTTGGATTTTTTCTACTTCCTGACTATTATGAACAATGCTTCTATAGAAAACCATCACCAGATGTGAATAACTACACTAAGTAAACATCTTTTCCTTATAAATATATACTTTAAAAACTTTATACTATAAAGTATATATTATATACTTTAAAGCAAAATACTCTGTCCTTGAGTATTTTGCCATAGTATCACAAAAAGCACTAAGACTATTGAAAGATCAATTGATAGGCCATATTATAACTATTATTTACACTTAGAGGAAAGTGCTATGGTTTT